CTCCCTCTCTCTCCCCCTCCCCCACCTTTCTCTCTCTCAGCGATGTTGTGTTGAAGAGATGGAGAGCTCCGTTCACACTCGGCCCGAAAGCGAAATAGGTGGGCTCGCCCGGCGTGGCTCAGCGCACCTCCCCTTTCTCTCTCACTCACTCCTCACTCACGCACTCCCCCTACATCCTTCCTTCCCTCCTCTCTCCATCCATCCGCCCATTCGTTTAGGGCTACAACTCCATGTTTTGTGGGGGGGCTATGTTGCAAGCGGGACAGGATTTGTGCACGGCCGCTATCGAAAGGAGTGGGCAGGGATCGTGCCGTGAATGCGAGAGGCAGGGGGAGAAGGAACAGAGGCAGGGGGAGACGGAACAGCGGGGGAAGGTCAAGTGCGTGATCGGCAGGAAAGAGAAGGTGAGACGCTTGTGCCCAGAAATGGAGGAACGGCGAGAGGAGGAGGTCGCCATCGAAATCTCGACGGTCTGGAGAAGCAGGAGAAGGCGAAGGGTGAGGGTCAGGATTCGGGATCAGGAGGGTGAGGGGCTCGGGATTTTTGGTCGGCAGGATGGGATGCGACGGCAGAGGAAGCAGAAGGAGAGTCGGCGGGATAGGGTGAAGCATGCGAGGTAAGCTTGCCGGCGTTAAGGAGGTTGTGTAGGGGGGAAGACATTGAGGAGGGCCCTAAAGTAAATGGGAGGGGGATGTAGGTCGGGGACCCAATTTGCGAAGAAGGGGATGGGCGATGCGGGTTGGGAGGGGGGCGTTCGGGATGTGGGATCGAGAGGAGGAGAAGGTGGGGATGCCAGCCAGTCAGGGTGAGGATGTAGGAATCGATGAAGTTTCAGGGGAAAGATCGGCAAGGCAGCAGGGTGAGAACCGATGAAGTTTCAGGGGAAAGATCGGCAAGGCAGCAGGGTGAGGATGTAGGAACCGATGAAGTTTCAGGGGATCCGAACAAAGTGGGTAAGAAGAGATTGCAAGGCAGGAAGAAAAGTAGAGCAGGGTAGTGAGGCCTGAATCACGAGAGGGATAGAGGAAATGTGGAGTGAGGGAAGCATGTTGTAAGAAAAGGAGAGCAGGATAGTGACGAAGGGCGTGAATCACGAGAGGGATAGCGTAAATGTGGATACACAGGTGATGGAGAGAGAAGGAGCGACAGACAGAGGAAGAGAGAATAGGACGTACGAAATTCGCAGGGGCCACGTCGAGTATCGTAGAGGATCAGGAGCTCGAAGTGGATCCCAACAGAGGAGAGAAAGGCGTGGAGAAAGATGGGAAGAGAGAGGCGACAGGCACAGGACAAAGACAGGAGAGAATGGGGAAAAGCGGATAGCTGGGGGGAAGATCGGGAGGGGGGATGGAGGGCACACGTTGAAAGGTGGAATCAGACAGGCGGAAGGGAAGCAATTGAGAAGGAAGAAAAGGAAAAAGGCCAGCGGACAGGGAAAAAAGAGAGAGAGAGAGAGAGAGAGAGAGAGAGAGAGAGAGAGAGAGAGAGAGAGAGAGAGAGAGAGAGAGAGAGAGAGAGAGAGAGAGANGAGAGAGAGAGAGAGAGAGAGAGAGAGAGAGAGAGAGAGAGAGAGAGAGAGAGAGAGAGAGAGAGAGAGAGAGATGGAGAGGGGAGAATGGCAAGAGAAGGAGAAGAGTGATGGAGGAAGGGATGGCGAGAGGGACAGGGCAGAAAGAGATCCTTGTGGGATAATAATCTTCGGGCCACTATGTTCTCTCTTCATGGAGGCACGCCCGTCCTCTGAGCTTGTTCTCTAATTTTTTTTCTCTCTTTTTTTTCCCTAGATGATTCTAAATGTCAAAATAAACACGAGAGAGCAAAAAAAGATGATGGCGAAAGGTTGATTGCGTGATTTTATACATCCTTTGAGCGCTTGTTCTCTATCATGTACCTTCCCCTTCCCCCCCCCCCGCCCTCCCCTTCTGTGTTGCTGTGCTGTCATCTCTTCACCTATGGAATTTAATTGCTCCTCCCGTCACTAAATTGCTATCAGATTTTTTTTTTCTTTTCTGCTTGTTTGATTTTGTTTTTGGGTTTCAATCTATTCTACTGGTGGGGAGGTTGCCACACCGGTTGCATCTATCCTCTCTCATATTTCGTGCGCGTACCGGCTTTGCTGTCGCCAACGCCAAATGCTCATCAGCACTGCGTCGAAATCAGATGCAGAACTGATGATCACATCTGAATGATGTTAACTATAAATAAATCAAGAATCTTGTCGTCAGTTCCGCAACCAATCAATCCTGTCAGTCGAGCCTTCGTCCACTCATCAAGATGGTGAATGGATTGATTGCAATCAGTAAATGGATTTGATTGCAATCAGTTAATGGACTGATTGAGCACGGTAAATGGATTGATTGATTGATTGATTGATTGATTGATTGATTGAAGTCGGTGAACAACGGGCCGTCATCTGTTTCATCGATTGATTTTTCTGCACCGGCCATGATCTGTTTCTTTTTTCATACACATGGCCATCATCGGCGTTTTCTGAACCGAAATCGTCAGTGCTTACCGGGTTCCCGCCAGTAGGACCTGACGATGATTTCGGTTCGGAAAACGCCGAATGTGCGGCCAGGAACGTCAAAATTAACTGCCCAACGGAGTAATCGAAGTAAGTAATCCATCGACATGCTACACGCATCAACAGAGATTTTGATCACATCTCATCATCTTACTGGAAACAAGGTTTTGAACTCTGTTCCACGCAATAGACGTCGTTCAAAATATCGCTCCAGCAGTTTTCTTTCCTATTTCTTGCACTCACTGCATCTCTCTCTCTCTCTCTCAATGTGCACAGACACACACACACACACATACACACACACACACAGAGAGAGAGAGAGAGAGAGAGAGAGAGAGAGAGAGAGAGAGAGAGAGAGAGAGAG